TGCACAACTTCAACTTGCAAATTTTGAAGGAAACTCGCACGAAAGCTTCGTTTTCACATCTTCAACTCGCAGATTTTGAAGGACGCGCGCGCGCGAAAGCTTTCCTTTGCACAACTTAAACTTGCAGGTTTTGAAAAGGAAGTCTCGCACGCAAGCTAGATCAGGGGGACAAAATGCGCCGCACCACAGACCTGAGCCTTGCCAGCCAATAGTGGCACAAATCCTTGTGTTTTCATATTACCTGATTCCAAACTCTATTTCCTTTTCTATTACCTATTCCTATTACCTAATTCCGATTACCTGTGTTTTTGCAGTCAAAGTGGGTCTGCTCAGTCCATGCGTTCAAAAACATAGGTAAAAAAAGATAATCTTTTCTTCTCTTGCAAACGCCTGAGCACCGTTTACCTGAGAAAACACAGGTAATCGGAATTAGGTAATAGGAATAGGTAATAGAATAGGTAATAGAAAAAGAAATAGAGTTTGGAATTTGGAATTAGGGAATTTGAAAACACAGGGATTTGCGCATAGAGAGCCCAAATCTTCCCTCGCGCGATGATACGCTGCTGCTTGTATGTGTACAAGGCTGCACCCCTGTCCCCGGACTGTCTCATGTTTATATTTCCTACTTAAAAAATCTTTCTGCTGGTCTCGCTGCTGCATCCGATTCCAACACTGCAAGGAACCATGACTGCAAAGAACCATGACTGCAAAGCACAATGATGGCAAAGCACAATGACTGTAAAGAACAATGACGGGAAAGAGGAATGACCGCAAGGAATGACCGCAAGGAAAGATGACTGCAAGAAAACAATGACTGCAATAAAGCAATGACTGCAAAGAACCGTCCCCTGCAAAGAGCAGTTTTGGAAGGAAGTCTTGCACGAAAGCTTCGTTTTCACATGTTTTCACATCTTCAACTTGCAGATTTTGAAGGAAGTCTCCACGAAAGCTTCCATTGCACAACTTCAACTTGCAGATGTTGAAGGAACCTCGCACGGAAGCTTCGTTTTCATATCTTCAACTCGCCGATTTTGAAGAATGCGCGCGCGAAAGCTTTCCTTTGCACAACTTCAACTGACAGGTTTTGAAGGAAGTCTCGCACGAAAACTTCGTTTTCATCAGCTTGCAGCTAGATCATGGGGAAAGCATGTGCCGTGCCGCACCACAGACTTGAGCCTTGCCAGCCAATAGTGGCACAAATCCTTAAGTTTTGATATTACCTGATTCCAAACTCTATTTCCTTTTCTATGACCTATTCTATTACCTATTCCTATTACCTAATTCCGATTACCTGTGTTTTCGCAGTCAACTTGGGTCTGCTCAGCCCATGCGTTCAAAAACAAGTCATTTTCCTAGCATTCAGGTGTTGTGTCATTGCTTTCAGGTGTTATGTCTGCAGCAGGGCAACTGCACGCAATCATGTTTTGGATTTTGCGCTCCTACTGTTTGAGGTTAAACACAGGAGAACTATGTAAAATGAAAACGATCAATCAAATAGATGTCACCGGTGTGTTTTTTTTTCCCGGTTGGTACTGTGTGTCTGTGCGACAATTGGGATAATTGTGTTTGTTTGGCAGTGGTACTGCCAGCCTCAAACCACAACACTTGCGAACAATGACGCTTATCACGCAACATAAACCGATAGAAAGATCAACTGACATGGTCATCATGACCAAAACATCTCAAATTCAAGCTTGGCTGAACGGTTTTTACATGGAAAGCCTGTATTGGGCAGCGCATGACTTCAAAGCATGTTCATGCACGGCGGCGTCCCGGCGTCCCGGCACCCGTGATGATAAAACACAAGCCAATCTTGCACCACCCTTGGCGCAGCGAGCATACGGCGCAGTCGTATCAGTAAATCAAAATCAGACTTAGTAGCACATGATTCGGGCTCCTGGGGGGTCCGTTTGTTTCATGATGTTCTTGCTGTGGTTTTTCCGGTGAAGATCAAAAACCTTTGGATTGTTGGTTCTTCTGCCATTCAAACTGCGGCTATTTCGTGAATCAATTTGCAAAATCGTTTGCTTTGAACAGTGTGTTTGTTTGGAAAGCGGCCAGTGTGTATCCCAAGATATGATTTTGCCAACATATTGTTTTGCCACAATATCATTTTGCCAAAGAATGATTATCATGTTGCAAAAGTCTTGTTTTGCCACAATATCATTTTGCCACAATATCATTTTGCCAAAATATCATGTTGCCAAAATATTGTTTTGCCCAAATACAAATTTCCCAAAATATTGTGATGCTCAATGATCAAGCTGAGTTTTGCCAAAAATCCGTTTGCCAGAATTTGTTTGCAAAATGATAGGCCGAAAAGTTCGCAAAATAAAAATCTGGGTCGTCCCCAAACCCCACATGTTGCACAATCTCCAGGGGTGATGGTCCCACGGGACCGTCCCCTGTGATAGCTACTACTAGCTACCCGAACATTTTCCAAATATCAATCTTAGCCTGGGGTGACGCTTAGCCCACTTACAGGGGGTGATGGTTCCGGTGGAGACCATCGTCCTTGAGAAGTGACTTGGTGGAACCCACAAAGGATGATCCTGAGATGCAAAGGGATACAAATAATTTCAATATATATCAATCAATGAAGACATCTGCCCCAGGAAATGTGCGACGATAAACGGTTGGCATCACCATATTTTGGCAAAAACAATATTATGGCAAAATGATACTCTGGCAAAATGATATTTTGGCAAAATCATACCTTGGCAAAATGATTTTGTGGCAAAACAATATGTTGGCAAAATCATATCTTGGGATACACACTGGCCGCTTTCCAAACAAACACACTGTTCAAAGCAAACAATTTTGCAAATTGGTTCACGAAATAGCCGCAGTTTGAATGGCAGAAGAACCAACAATCCAAAGGTTTTTGATCTTCACCGGAAAAACCACAGCAAGAACATCATGAAACAAACGGACCCCCCAGGAGCCCGAATCATGTGCTAATCCCTTCCTCCTAATACTAAACGTCACCCTAATACTAAAAACAGGCATCCATCTCCAATTTCCGAAAATTTCAGTTTGGCCAATTTGACTTTTAATTGATCCCCTTTAAAAAACAATTCAAAAATCAACCTACCATTTGTGGGTTCTCCCCCCTAATACTAAAAACTAATTCATCCCGGGGTGTTTAGTATTAGGGGGGCTAGTTTTTAGCATTAAGGGTTTTAATTTAGTATTAGGGGTAAGCTTCGAACTGCCATTTTTGGCAATATTTTAATTGCGTTATATAAGGAAATTTAATTGATTTTGAGATCGGAAAAAATAGTTTTTAGTATTAAGGGTTTTAATTTAGTATTAGGGGTAAGCTTCGAACTGCCATTTTTGGCAATATTTTAATTGCGTTATATAAGGAAATTTAATTAATTAATTAACATGACTTCGATTTGGTTCCCTAATAATAAATACCCCCCTAATACTAAAAACTACCTGCCGTGTTTTGTATTAGGGGGGGGGGTTTAGTATTAGGAGGAAGGGATTACTAAGTCTGATTTTGATTTACTGATACGACTGCGCCGTACTGCTCGCTGCGCCAAGGGTGGTGCAAGATTGGCTTGTGTTTTATCATCATGGGTGCCGGGACGCCAGGACGCCGCCGTGCATGAACATGCTTTGAAGTCATGCGCTGCCCAATACAGGCTTTCCATGTAAAAACCGTTCAGCCAAGCTTGAATTTGAGATGTATTTTGGTCATGATGACCATGTCAGTTGATCTTTCTATTCTTTTTATGTTGCGTGATAAGCGTCATTGTTTGCAAGTTTTGTGGCTTGAGGCTGGCACTACCCATTGCAAACAAGCCAACACCATCCAAATATTCGAATCGTAGCGCAAACACACAGTACCAATGCAATATAACCAAAAAAAACATCAGTTTGAATGAAAATTACATTTACATTGCGCAACTTTGCTCAGCCTTTCAAACAGTAGAATGCAAAATCCAGAGCACGACTGTGTTGCAAAATTCAAGGGAAAAAGTGCATGCAGTTGCTTTGCTGCTGAGTCAAACCGAACTTAACACCTGAATGTAATGAGACAACGCCTGAATGCTAGGAGAATGACTTAAACATAGAAAAATCATACTCTTTTCTTCTCTTGCAAACGCCTGAGCACCGTTTACCTGAGAAAACACAGGTAATCGGAATTAGGTAATAGGAATAGGTAATAGAATAGGTACTAGAAAAAGAAATAGAGTTTGGAATTTGGAATTAGGGAATTTGAAAACACAGGGATTTGCGCAATAGAGAGCCCAAATCTTCCCTCGCGCGATGATACGCTGCTGCTTGTATGTGTGCAAGGCTGCACCCCTTTCCCCGGACCGTACATGAACGAGGAAATCGGACCTCTGCTGTATTGTCGTCGCCCCTGCAACCCCAAATTTTAATGTTGCCTTTGGGCTGCGCGTTTGGGGCCGGTCCGGTGGAAAAATCAAACCCTAACGCAGAGGAAACTAGATAGAGCTTTGTGCAACATTGAAATTTGGGGCCTGGGGGTTTACTTGGTAGGCGTCTGTAGGGTTTGATCTTTTTGTCCATCTACTGTAGTAAAATGGATGAAATCCAATGCATGGATTTTCTACATGCTCAAATCACTACATTCTGTGATTTATCAGCTCTCAATGAAAAATGCTCTCTGCTCTGTGCAGTTTGCTCATGCTTGCTCGCGACCTGATCTTTTACGCCGGAATCCAAGGAATCCAAGAAAACAAGTCGTGTAAAAGGGCATGTTCGGTCCATGTTTGGCGCATGTTTGGTGCGAGTGATGCACTACTGCCCCCTTGCTAGCAAACCTATATAGCTTCGTGAACACAACGAAAGAAACAAGTTGAAAAATCAACAGCCTGTTACTTGAAGCAACCGCTAGATCGAAACAGTGATCTGTTCTGCTGGGTAGGGTGAAGAAACAAAGGCTGTAAAAGGGATTGAAGATGGTTGAAGTATCAATAGCATTCAATAGCAGGCTCTCAGATTTACTGTATCAACCTTGCCTGATCAAAACTGCCGTCATCATCTTGAAGCAAATGCCTCAAACAATCGAAAGCACCAGTGGCGGTGACATGCATTGACGACCTGGTTGCTCGCTTTGTACTATAGCTCTACACGATAGAGACTCAGTCGTTCTTGGAGCATTCAAGCACAAGGACTGGACCAAACTATCAAATACAATTCAAATACGATATAATCAGGATGTAAATTAGTGGTACCCAGAACTAGTCCAACTGACGCAGAACCAAGACATGCCTTATACAGGTTTCACGGTGTCCCAAACCTTACCTTCCTACAGAAGATCCTGCAGTGATGAGCAGTTTCAGCATTCTGCACAACGCACCTCTGAAACATGCAGCCCAACATGCAGCCCAACATGCAGCCCAACATGCAGCAACACCACTATTCCATGTTCTGTGCCAGTACAAGCCCAGCGTCTTCACATAGTAGTTGACGCGTCGTGTTCCTATCAGTATCGTGAGCACTGAATTTCAGCATACAAACATGTACAGACACAGGCTCCGAAAGCCTGCCATAGAATCACAACTGGACCTCTCCAATCAAATTCTTCTAGCATAGAGTCTTGCAATGCAATCAAGATCAAGCAACAGAGTAAAATGCCGAGCGTGCCAAATTTCATCGACACATCATGGACTCTTGCAAGTGACATGTTTCCCTAAAACGCAAAATGCATCAAAATGCTGTCCTTGTACGGTCTTTCGTGCGCGCCACAGCAAACCATCTAACAAAGTCGTAAGCATGGTCGGAGCCTCGACACCTAATTCGCTGAAGTTGCTCAAAAGCAAGGACACCATTCAAATTTTTGAATCTTTTTGATACAGTTACAGTACCATCCCTTTTCGCAAGGCAGTTCTCTCGGGACTCTTTGGTACGAGTACTTGGAGACTTTATGAAACTTTCAGATGTCCTGCCCTAGAGAGCGCTGTGGGCTCCTGGAAATGCTCTTTTGCTGGGCCCAGGACAAAGCTTGTGCACCACTTCTGGATGGCGCCGAAAGAGATCGTCGCCTCAGGAATTTGAAATCGGAGTTCTTCTGATTCGCTCATGCTCTTTAAAAACTCAATCTCTGCCAGAAAGTCTCGAGCTCCAAAATCAGTCCGAACATTTAAGCACCCACGGAATCTTTGAAACACCCATCGAACCACAGCAACCCCAAAGCTGTCCATTTAGACTTTCCAAAGCGGAGTCCAAAATTAATCGTCAGCAAGCGGCATCCGTAATAGTAGTTGTCTCTATCCGCACGAATTGTCAGCAAGTCGCTGATCATGGCCTCTCGTGGACATGCCAATGTTGCAATGTAGCAATTGCCCACTTATTCGATATGTGGGAGACGACTTTGCCTATCTTGCAATCCCCGGCCATGGATATAGAGAATGTTCAACAATCGCAGACCTCCTTATTTTGGAGGTGTACACGTTGTGGACCATGTCCTGAGCCGAATCAAATCAAAGCTCCTTCGCACAGCACCCGACCCAGCCTTTGCAGAATTCAAGCTGCCACTCTCGATCGCCCAATAGAATGGCGAGATTGTCTGCGTGCCAACCTCATGCTTTGTGGACTCTGGGAACTCTGGGAACAAGTCAGGAGAGAGAGCTGGGCGGGGACTGAGGACTGGATTGGAAAGCATAGCTCGAAAATGGCGCCCAGAGATTTTATGCCGCAATTGGATCGTTCCACCGCCACTTTCGATTGAACGTCAACAATGACTCCTGATCTGCATGATCTCCATGCTTTTTTGAAATTCCGAACAACGTCGAAATTCCTGAAAACCTCCAAAGAATATTTTCGGATTCAGAATCCCGCTGTTACAGGGACCCTCTTCCACCATCTTCCACCCCTATCTTAGAGGCCCAACCCTAATCTCCAGCAGCTCCATGGCTCGCTTGCCACGAGGTGCCACTGCAATGGCTTTCTGCAGAGCCTGTCGATGCTGTCGTGGAATCCACTACCAGAGCCACGGATGGCTCTGCTCTGCTCCCGCCTTCTGCTCATTTCTGTTGATGGCCTTCATCACAATGGTCGAACCTACACTGCAAACACCTCTCGATCCCCTCAGGTTCTTCTAGCAGATTCTAGCATTCCAAGCCACACGATGTCTGAAACTGCTGGGTGCCACAGCAACCATCGCGAGTCACGGTTTTGCACGTCCATCCAGCATTCAGTTTGACGTATATTTGACGTTGTTTTCAAACGTTTTCAAAGAATTGCGTTCCAATTCCTGCCTTCCAGCAGCGTCCGGACCAGAATCTTGGACACCTCAGGTTCGCAGCTTGGCCATAGATCTTCAAGGCGAATCTGTTCTCCGAGAGAACCACGCCGAAAACTCTGAAAACAAGACCTGCGCATAGACTGCAACATCTACAAAATCTATTAATATCCTATATCCAAGCTCCCGGATGATGGCGAGATCTTCAGATCTGCTAAGTCTCTCGAAGTGGCAGAAGATGGTAAGCTCTGACCATTTGAGTGTGCAATCAATACTGGTACAATAAAACCGACTGCCTACTGGTCCTGACGAGACAGACATGAAGAAACTGCATACAGAAGCTTTGTGTAGAGGATTTGCTGTAGATTCGAAGAGATTCGCTGGCAGTAATTTAAGAAGAGATGCTAAGTTGAGAGACCAGCGAAAGGATGCAGTTGCTGTTTCATCCTCAGTGCTAGAACCGCCATGGCAGGGCAGTCATGACAGAATTTTGGAAAAGAAACTGGGCATGTTGTCGTCACTGCTTTGGCTCAGCAAGTCCTGCAAAATCAAACAATCTCACCTGCTTCTGCAGGCTACTCTGGGTGTTCAGTGTTAAGGCACAGAGACAGAAACTAGTATCATTTTTCTTGCGCAAACATACCAAGAAGAAGCAATGAAGATAGGTAGACAATTGTATCCATTGACTGGTTGCCTTCTGCTTCCTTCGCGCATACTGACTCCCCATCTTGTGTGCATTTCTGAATTTGTTGAAGGTTCTCTCAACAGAAAAGCCATGAAAGCCATGGTGATTCCATGGCAGATGGGCTGTCAGCATTGCTGGTCTGCATCAAGCCACAGTGGTCATCTCTCCGAGCACCTTCACCGCTGAGCTAACCTGACACGGATTGGCACATGGCACGCTCCTGCTCTGTTTTTTCAAACTTGCAATGCGAAAAGATGAACATGTATACCGATTCCAGTGGATGCTTCTCTGCACTTGGCCTCAGTGGTGCAGGGGAACGATAAACTGTAATGAATATTATATACATGTTACATATATATATATTTATATATATATATATATGTGATTGTAATTGTATACGATGTATACAATTACATTGAATGAATATGACAAAACATCGTTTTACAGCTGGGATCTCTCCAATCGAACCTGACACCTCTGTTGGAAGTGTAGAGACAGAATGGACAGATTGGACAGATTGGACAGGGAGACTTAGACTTAAATGCATTCCAAACAGCAAATGGAGAAAAGAGCTCCGTTGGAATCTCATAGGCGACATGACCTTGGAAACAACGAATGTACCCGACTTACCCAAAAATACACAAAGCTGCTTGAAATCTAAAGACATCTAAAGACATCTAAAGACATCTAAAGACATCTAAAGACATCTAAAGACATCTAAAGACATCTAAAGACATCTCAACAATTGGTTGCACTTGCAAACATCGGATTGCGCTCGAAACAAACCAGAGGCTCTGATTTGCAACCTAGCTATTAGGTAACTTAGTTGAATTTCAATGTACCCAAATTGTGAAGTGCAAAAAATATCCGTTTTGGCCGCGCTACGCAGGCCAAGGGCGGAGATGTCTTCCACCATGACCCGTGGCTCTTTATAAATGCCACAGGTAATCTCAATCATCCTGGCGGCGCAGCAAAGAGAATGGCAGTTATTTATAGGTTTATTGTTATTTGAGTCTGCTTTCGCAAACAGAAAGGTACCATTTGAATCCATTCGAGAGGTTCGCAACAATGCCAGTCTTGTATGGTTAGGGTTGCCATCTGGATCCGTCTTTTTGACAATCTAATTTCAGTTAGTTTCAGATGTAATTTAATGCTACGTGTGCAGTCTAGCCAAGGCACTTGTCCGCAATGAAGTAGAGTCTGGTCGTAGACTGCTTGAAATAATCCTGTCCCGAAGGAGCAACTGCGAAGAACCTTGGTGGAAACCATGTGGCACAGGAGCGTGCCGCACAAGATGCACAAGGCTTGCCAAACGGCAAAGGATAGCTAAAACATGCTAACATAGCATGAAACGGATAAACAAATTGAGGCCCAGGGGTAAGGGACGAAAATTAGTTTGGCAGGGAGCTTGGCATGAAAACACAAAGGGCGGAGCGCATGTGCGCAGCTTTTTCGGCAACGTAGACGAGCGCGGCATGCTTGTAAAGATTTGTAAAGTGAGCATCCAAACCTATACGTATTGAGGCGATGTATGTTGGAGGGGACGAGGATGAGAACATATGATTCTTATCTACGGTTGCACGAAGAGGATGAGGAATTTCAGTGTAGCCAACATGATGTGATTGGGGAAGATTCAAAAACAAAAACCTTCGGCATCGGAGTGAGCCTTTGGAAGCGCGGGAAGAAGTAACGCAGTGCAAAACCGAAAGTTGAGGACGAGAGGTAGGTGCGCGTGTGCAACATGAAAATGAAGCAAAGTTTCAAACAGGATAAAGTGTGAAAAGTGTAAAGCTGTGAGGGTGTAAAGTGAAGTGTGAGGTGTAAAGTGTGAAAGTGTAAAGTGTACAGTGTGGATTGTAAAGTGTAGTGTGTGTGTAACCCGCTATAGCATGCGGTTTTTCTGATGTACAGGTCGCAGGGGGGCAATCTCATGTCTGCAGCTGATTGCCCAACAAAGAGGGCTGCATTCATGACTGATATGACTCTGGGACGCTGGAGTCACATACCTGCTTGTGTTTACATGTTGTACAAACTGTCAGTCTCATGTTGTTTAAGTCAACCGAAGGTTTCAAAAAGATACAAGTACAACAGTACAACTCTGATTTCATCACTTCAGGCTCCGCTGCCTTAGGCTTCGAATTCTTAGGACTCCTCAAGGCGACCAGAAGCACATCATTCTCAAATTTCTCATCAGATCTATCACCAATGTTTTTTGGGTGTTTGACCTCACTTGGCCGCACCATCGGCTCCTTCCGAGGAGACCTAGAGCATGAGAGGGCATTTTCCCGTATAGATTGAAGGCAACCACATAAGTGTGTAGTACTACTTATGTGGGCTACGCCAGAGAAGCTGCCCCCAGCACTATGGCTGGGTCAGCAGACCAAAGCGCCGGAGTCACAACATGTGACAAGCACAGACTAACCAGAAAAGAGAAGGTTCATAGCACCGGCAGAAGACGTGTACTGCGTCAGCAAGAAGGTTCACATTCGAACCAGCAAGAAGGTTCGGCGTAGCCACAGAGTATTATGACGAGGTGCAATGTCCTAAGCTCAGTTGATCACAATTTTGCGCACTCCATTTTCCATGATGAAAATGTTGGTTGGGAACCACCACTTGTTCAGTTAATTAAGAATGCCCTTTCTCCGCACTTTCAGTTTTGAGAGTCTTTCTAAGTTTGCCATGTCAGCGAATCCAGTCGGCAGTTTTCCCAAGACGGGAGCCCCACCACCTCCGATACCTACTTCTGCTGGTATGATTCCAATCATTCGACAGATGCAACATGCACCGACTCCTCCAATTGTTTGTGTCACTTGTAGTGGATCAGGTCATCAAATTCAGCCACCTTGAACACTGTAATTTCGCATTTCACTGCGCATGAGAGGACTTTGCAGGAAGAGAGTTTGAATTTTCAAAATCAGTTGTATCAACAATCATTGACACAGCAGCAATTTCAATTTCACTTTCAGATCATGCTGAATATGATGTCACAACCTCAGTGGACATTACCTTGGTACGGACCACAGACAGTTCGATCAATTCGATCTCAGCCATATGAACGATCGGATCAAAATCAGAGACCAACAGTCCTGGCCTCAGCTTTGAATCCAATGATTGAGACAACACCTCCAGAAGTCGGACATTTTCTGCACAATTGGTAGACAGATATGATCTCCGTTTAAGTGGACTCTTGGATCCAGCAGGGATTGTATCCACTTGTTTCTATTAGTTTTCGAATCGGAAGGCAACCATGTTCATGAAGTTAGATATCCACATTTTCCAAGTTGTGTGACATCACTTTGGGTGCTTTCGCAAATATCTCGTATCAAATTTGGAATCTTTGAACAAATACTGGATACCGAATCCATAAAACAAAACTTAGTGGTTGGCGATCTATGAAACTTTGAAGCGTGTTCGACGATCTTTGCTACAATTTTCATATCGGATCACCTGCGCCTTAGAAGAAGGACGTATTCGTGAACTCCAACAATCATACACACCAAATCCTGCATACTACACCGCAGCTCGTGGATTCACACCATCCACAGAGACCGTCACTTATAGCAAATACTATGTTCAATTTCTGCAGGCAAATTTAGAAAAGCATTTTCCACATTTTTTCACTCCTGAGTTTGCACACATCGTTCGATCAGGTATTCAGTTGCTGTGAAAAAGCTTAATATTGTATCCATTAAACGTTGGACTGGTAGGGACCGTCGGTATTCTTGGAGATTATCAACACCGACCTTTGGCCATTGTTAGTAAACTCACACCCAACCAACTGGAAATCAGTACACCGTTTGAATATGTTTGAATCTAAGTACTACTACATGTTTACCCACAACACCAGTGCTTTGAGCGCAACGCATTCAGTGGCGGAAGGATTCATCCGTCCGTCAGCATCAGGCCCTAACGATTCATCATGGCTACCACAACAAACAGTTTCTAAGCATGTGGACAACAGATTACTGGACCACATATTAGGGAAGCAGACCTTGTCCGTATGTTGAAGACTGCCCAATATATGGTGGAGTTGGCTTATATCGGCCCTTGACAATCATTGGCAGCGCGCTCAGTCGACACAATCATTTCCGGGTCCATCAAGGAGAAGTAATTGTGGATCATGCTACAGTTCAATTCTTCGACATAGGCCATGGATCAGACAAACGATGGGCTTTTCGTTCTCGCACTGTCTCTCCACATGTGTGCCTGTGTTGGATGGTGTGTCCACCTTCCCGGGGGTCTTGTTTCCCCTTGCCTCCTCTTGTCTCCCACTGTCTGCCTACATGTGTGCCTGTGTTGGATGGTGTGTCCGCCTTCCTGAGGGTCTTGTCTCCGTGTGTCTCCCCTAGTCTTCCACTGTCTCCGACTGTCTCCCCACATGTGTGCCTGCATAGGATGGTGTGTCTGCCTTCCCGAGGGTCTTGTCTCCACTTGTCTCCCCTATTCCCCCCTTGTCTCCCACTGTCTTCTCCCACTGTCTTCTCCCACTGTCTCCCCACATGTGTGCCTGCGTTGGATAGTGTGTCCGCCTTCCCGAGGGTCTTGTCTCCCCTTGTCTCCCACTGTCTCCCACTGTCTCCCACTGTCTCCCCACATGTGTGCCTGTAATGGATGGTGTGTCCGCCTTCCCGAGGATCTTGTCTCCACTTGTCTCCCCTTGTCTCCCCTTGCCTCGCCTTGTCTCCCCTTGTCTCCCCTTGTTTCCCACTGTCTCCCCACATGTGTGCTGTTGGATGGTGTGTCCGCCTTCCCGAAATTCTTGTCCCCCTTTGCCCCCCCTTGTCTCCCACTGTCTCCCCACATGTGTGGGTTTCCGCTGCATTTTACAATTCATCAGTGTTGATGCTATGGATATGAACCACCCTGGGTACAGAATTGCTTGGCCAGATTCAAGCAAAGCTCAAAGTAGCAGCTGTCTCTACATGTCTCTACACATGCAGCAAAATAAGGAACATTCAGGTAGATGTTGTCACTAGAGCCGTCATGTCAGACACAATGACCAGCATGCTTCAGAGGTGCAAAATGCACACGTGATTGTTTTGCTATGTGTGAGTTTTTCTACAAGTTGCCGTTGTAGAATTGGTATCGGCAAGCAGCCTGCCTTGCTTCAACTAGACGACGGTTGGCCCGAGTCGTAAAAGATAGTCACTGAATGGTTGGTGAATTCTATATGAGCTATGGAGGGATAAGGTGTGAAAAGTAAGATTGATTAAGAAGAGGATACTTGGTAAAGGGCATCAGATGACACGTGTCTTGCAACCACAGAGAGACATAGATAGAGAGAAAGAGGGGGGAGGGAGAGAGAGAGAGAGAGAGAGAGAAGGAAAGGGGGATAGAAAGAAACATGGAGACATATAATGTGAGCAACAAAAGTGCACAGGAGGCTCGGTACCATGATGCTGCGAATGACATGTGTTATCTCATTTTATTATGGTAATTCCTACACACATTGCCCAAGAAGCTCGGCACCATCATTCCGTGGATGTGAAGAAACGCGACGCTTTTATACAGAGACGCTTTTACACACAGCAGCTTTTACACACAGACACTTTTACACAGAGACGCTTTTACACACAGAAACTTTTACACACAGAAGGTTTTACACACAGACACTAGACACTTTTACACACAGACGCTTTTACACACAGACGCTTTTACACACAGAAGCGTTTACGCACAGAAACTTTTACACACAGAAGGTTTTACACACAGACACTAGACACTTTTACACACAGACGCTTTTACACACAGACGCTTTTACACACAGAAGCGTTTACACACAGACGCGTTTACACACAGAAGCTTCTACATTCTGTTTTTGACATCAAGCACATGATGGCATCGAGCTCTGTTGCAAACGTTTGCAGACATTTCACTAGTGAAGTGTCACGTGTGTGATTTACAGCATCATGGTACCGATCTTTTTTGGGCCATTTATGTGTGATTTTCCATAATAAAATGAAATAACATGTGTCATACACGGCATCATGGTACCGAGCTTTCTTGGGCCATCTATGTGAGATTTTCCATTATAAACTGAAATAACATATGTCATACACGGCATCATGGTACCGAGCTTTTTTTATATAGACTGTGTGGGATATTCCCAGAATAAAATGAGATAACGTGTGTCATTTACTGCATTATGGTATTGGACCTATTTTTTTTGTGCAAAAGTTTGCAGACGTTTCACTAGTGAAGTATTGTCACATGTGTGCTGACATTTGACACACTAAAGGTTTTGCAGCTGATAG